GTCTGCCCTCGCCCCTTGCCTTCTGCCGTGAGTTCGGCCTCTCCGGCCTCGCCGCCATGTCGCGACTGTGAGCACGCTTCTCGTTGTTGTCGCTTCGCTGAGCAGGAGGGTTTGCTATAATAGAGCCCTGTAGTTTCTTATATATGTGTTTGTGTATGTATATGTTCGAACTATATCAACCTTAAATTATTTACAGTTTAAAAAATGCAGGATTTGTTTGTCTTTAATCCTTAGTGTAGATTTTCCCGTAGCACGGCTTTTCCCCACTCATGTTTACAAGCTTCATTTAATTCTTCAGTAAACGGGGATTAAAACAAGCACCACAGAGAATGCTTTTAAGATTGTCTGATTTTTGCTTCCGGTCCTATAGGAAAGAAAGAAGCATTATTTCTTAGTGGTTTACTTTGTCAGAATGTTTCATTCTCAGTCGATCATATGACTCAATTTCACTGTTTTTTAGAACATTCCCGAAGAAAGCTTGTATGTGAAATGTAATGGCCGACTGGCTAATGATGAAGATGTACTGCAGAATGGAGCCGTTTATAGTCTGGAACCAAGACTTTGTGGTGGAAAAGGAGGTTTGTTGCTTCTTATTGAATTAAGATTCCTAGGTTAAAAGACTTCTGTTGTGCTGTAGTCTATAGTGATAGCAGCAGTCCTAATCTATTAGCACATCGCATTTCATGTGGATGACTGATACAATGTCTGGAGCTGAAACGAAAGCCTATATGCAAAGCTGAGAATTGACTAGGAAAGCTGCTGTTCTGCTAATAGCTTTGCTGGCACAGCTCTTCTTTGCATTCCTGGTCATCTTAGGTCTGCTAGTAGAAATCTGTCATGTGCATCAGAGTGACTTCAGAGTTGAAATTGTGTTTAAAAGCACCTGGCTTCTTAGGCTCCTAGGTTATATTTGTGGTCACTTAGGACAAATATTCCAGGTACAAATAGCTTGTGATTTGAGTGTGTTATACGACCTGATTGGTTTTGTCTTCTCTTATGTCAAAAAAATATAAATGTCAAGATCTCAGAAAGATTTCAGTCTAAGCTAGGCTCCTCATGTTGCCAAAATAATCTGTGTTACTGAAGATGTGTGTTAATTGTGTAAAACAATGCAGCCACTGACAGTGTGGGCGCTCCCTAAAATGGAACGTGATGGGTGAAGCAAGTTTAGCAGAGTATTTCAGTGTAACTGGAGTCAATATATTTGCTTTTTGAATACAGTTCTCAGAATTTTCTCACTGTTGTGCTGAGACGCTGAATAATTGTGCAGCCTTGCATCAGGCTGCAGCTCAGCTTACCTTGCCTTCTTCAGTTTTAGATAGAACTGGAAATAAATATTATTGCTGTAGCTTGTCAGGTATTGCAGTTTCTTTGTGTGCCCTAAAAGCGGTGCATATGGTAGAAGTTCTTAGTATAGGATACTTCTTCTTCACCTGTTGTCCATCAGCTTTAGTTATCATCGACTGACACGGGATTTGCATTCTGTGATTCACCCTGGGTTACTGAGGTGCCCTGGGGGTCAGTTTAAAATTGGTCTTTATCCATTTTGACTGCTTTCTAAAGTGTTCCTTTTGTTTTGACTTTATAACTTAAAAGCCTGATAAAAACAGGCAGACACGGATGAGAACTCTGTGATCTCAAGGGAATGCAGATAACTGCAGGCTTAGAAGAGAGCTGAGCATTTTCTTACCAGACCTAAATCAAGACCCGTGACCTTAGTGAATGCATTGCTATTGGTTTTGGGGAACATTAGTGAATGCATTGCTGTTCGTTTTGGGCTCGGTGTAGCAGCTAGGTCCGTGTTCTTCAGAATGTAAAATTCAATGGCAGGTTTCATAAGCTACAAAAATTCTCCTCGCTAATGGCAGCAATTGGTTTTATTAGCTGAATGCAATACTTTTCTTGCAACGGTAGGCCGTCTGGGTTGGTTACTGTTTGTAACACTCCTTAAAGGTCCTGAAGAACAAATCTGTACACTGAAAAGTATAAATTTTTTCAGCTTCTGGTTAAAAAGCAGTTCTTAGCAGTTTCAAATTGCTTGAAGGATTATATTAATCCATGTTGTGTTTCTCTGAGGTAGTTAAACAAATGTCTTCTCCAGCTGGATACAACATAAGGTGGGACTGAGTGAGAGAAGTTAGTGGTCTTGCCTATGAGTAATTAGTGGCTGAGGAGTGTGTAGAAATCTATTTGGGGGGGGCTCTTCAGCATGATGTTGATCATCTTGAAGCAGCTAAGGTTATTTCCTAAAAAAAGTAATTTTTTTTTTAGAAAGGGTCCTTAATTAGAAAGGACCCAAAATGTTATTTTGAGGCAAAAAAGGTTTCAAACCATTTTGCTGGGAGAGTCCAGAAATACACTTTCATGTTAGAAGTGCTGCACAGGTTCTAGTAAGCCTGGAGTCCATCTGGTGTGGTATCAGGAGCACAAAAGCGAGACGAGCGATAAATGCTAGATACCTTTTTTTTCACTTAGTGTTTCAGCATTTGACCCAATGACAATTCTCCAACATGTTGCAATTCTCAACTTGCCCTTTACTTCAGTTGCATTGAGGGAGAGGAAGGTGTTGAATTCACTGTATTCTTTTTCCAGAATTAATTCTGATGTTGTGTACTAGCTCATCTCCATTTGTTTCTGTTTAGCTAATTCTCGATTACTTTTTTCTCAGGGTTTGGATCTATGCTGCGAGCACTTGGTGCTCAGATTGAAAAGACCACAAATAGAGAGGCTTGCCGAGATCTCAGCGGAAGGAGACTTCGAGATGTCAATCACGAAAAAGCGTAAGGCATTTTCGTAGAAGCTAGAATTATAAAATGAACCGACCATGTAGTTCACTGTTAACAGAAGAGGTCGGATGACAGGCTGTTGTAGCAGAGAAACTTTATTTTGAATACTAAAAAGAGCAAAAGTGAAATACTGAGCACAGGTGGACTGGAAGCCAAGGGGATTCTTCCAACTATAATTACATTATTGCAAAATAGACATGATTGCACTGTAATCTTGTAGAGACTGTTCTGCACCTCTTAGATTCCTCATCTGGAGTTCTCACACTTCTCTGAAGGTGCAAGACCATGATGTTGGGAATACATGACCTCACTGCTGTTTCTGGCTTCAAAAATAAACGTTGCTCTCTTCTCTGTAGCAGAATCTCTATATATTCCTTCAGTAATTCCCCTGGGTGTTGTTAGTTGCCTTTTCCCATTGTCTCCCATCCTAGCAGGTGGTACAACCATTCAGTAATTGCAAAGCAGCAAACTAATATTACCGTAAATGCTGGAAACACTCTCATCTTCATGGTTCTGTCATCTGCAGGATGGCTGAATGGGTGAAGCAGCAAGCAGAGCGGGAAGCAGAAAAAGAGCAAAGGCGCTTGGAAAGGCTGCAGCGGAAACTTGCGGAGCCAAAGCACTTTTTCACAAATCCGGATTACCAACAGCAGTGTCATGATATGGCTGAGCGACTAGAAGATTCGGTCCTTAAAGGTATTGCAGTTTAATCTCGCTTTCTCTTCTCAAAAAATAAAGGAAACTGAAAGTCTCTGTAGCCTCACTCCAGTATGAAAATTTTAAAAAAATTGCTGAGAGTAACTCTTTCAATTGAATGGAATTTTAGATTCCAGTAAAATTTGTTGGACTTAATTTTTCCTTTTTGGCTGCTGCTTCTCTTTGCATTGAACAGTGTAACACGGATACAAGCGGTGCTTCATCTTGCTGTGCTACAGTGTCATCTCACAATAAAAGCAAATTCCTGTGAAGGTGGTGTTGCTAGTTTAGCTGTAAGAATTACATCATCATTTTCAGCAAAATGATAACATATAAACAGGTCTTATGTGTGAAACAGAAATTGAATCCAAGTACAAAGTACCTGGTTTCACTTACTGTTGTTTGTAGTTATTTTTCCATGGATTGTTCCCTTGCTGGCTGGTTGATAGTGGAACTTGAGGCTGATGGGGATGTTCAGTTCAGGAATGCAATTTTGATTGACTCTGTGCCTTAGTAAAGCTGTGTAGGAAAGCTTTTGCTACTACTGAGTTTATTTTGAAGCTTTGAGTCTACATAACTGTGCCCCAATGGTGATTCTTTTCAGTTAGTTTTACATTGCATCTGAAATCAAAAGATAAGTAGAATTTACAACGTGCTGATGTAGACTTTTAACTTTGTTTTGAAGGATTGCAGGCTAGTTCAAGCAAAATAGTGTCACCAGAAAGTGGTGGTAGTCGGAAGCGTCCAGGTGAATCTGGAAAGAAAAAAAAGAGTGAAACAAAATCTCGAAAAAGAAAATGTTTTTGGTAAGTATTATGGCTCTCTTTATATTTAGTACTCAAGTGTTAAGCCTTGAACAGGATGACAGGTTAGGTGCATACAAGTTAGCAACATCTTACCAGAGATGTAGACTTAAATAGTAAAATTAAATTGAGCTAATGGAATTGGGGAACTGGAAGTAAATGTTGCTGCATTCATGTAATTCTGTCCTAGCTGAGCAGATAAACTTTGTTTGCAAAAACCGGCACCTAGTTTGTTTTGATTTTTTTTTTTTTTTAGCCCCTCCTAGTATGGTTATATTCTATATACCTCATTGTCTTTTTCAGTGAACTAAAAAAGGATTTTTAAAATTATTTTTTTCCTGGCGTTTTTCACCTAATGTGATGTGGAAGAGAATTCTTGATGATTCCGGTGGTGGTTGCGATAGCAATAGGTAGCACACCTGTCTGTATGGGGAGTGCTGTTAAAGGGTGCCTCTTCTCGGGGGTTGTTGGATCCTGTTCAGTATTAGCAGCTCTTCCATTTGCTGAACTGTCCTCGGTAGCTGCTAGAGCAGTTCACTGGAGCTCTCTGAAGTGGGTTTTGGAAAGAAAGTGTGATAATAAAAATAATTAAAAAAAAAAAAAGTGAAAATATATGAGTATTCATTTGTAATGTACTGCTTCTGCCAGGCTGGGATTGGAAGGACTGGATGATGCTGACAGCTCGGACTCTGAGGATGACAGTGAAGATGACTCCCCTCCTGCATCTGAGGGGAGTTGTCCCTCAGGCAGCAGATACAATGAAAATGCTGGGAACTCGCACGAATGTTCAAGCAGCTCTGTGGATTCGGTAGAGGACAGTCCAGCTACCAGCGCAACTGGAAGACCACTCGAGCAGCCAGAAGGTGCTGGAAGAGATGTGCAAGGAGAGACATGCGCAGGTGGGCAAACTGAACTTCCAGCTGAAGAAAACAGTAAAATGACAAAGCCCATGAAGGAAGAGGCCCAAGAAAAGAGTGAAGTAACCCACGCTCTGAAAGAAGAGGAGCAGAAAGAAGAGGAGCAAGAAGATGTTTCTTCTAAGGCACAGGAAACGAACCAGTTACAGAGCACAGTAAGTATGAAGCAATACAAAATGTCATGTGTCTTTTCCTTCAACTGGTTTTACTCAATTGCTTTGTCCCTTTGTGGGCTGCAGAAGAGGGGAGGGGAATTGTATCCTATGACTTCAATGCATTAGATGTACGTGCTTCAATTAGAATTCTAGTTTCCTGAAGAAGCTAGAATCTCCAAAGTTTGGTTTGGAGCATAAAGAATCCAAAGATTAAAAGGAAAAAGGGCTTAACTGAAGCCGCATCGTACAACTTGGGAAATTGGCATGTAGCAAGTTACGGGAGCTGCAGCCAAAGAAGGCTCTTAGTTGACAGTGTCTCTGTGGAGAAAGTGGAATTGTAGTATAGTAGTCTTACTATAGCACAGCCTTGAGAGATGCCGAGTAGAATGGGTCAAGGAAGAACTTTACTGGATTAAGATTTTAACAGTCTAGAGTTTCAACTAAGGTTGCCCTTGGCAGTCTAGTATTGTCTTTCCTGAGATCCATGTTTCTCTTGGTGGTGGTGGTGTTTCCTCCTCCTACATAAATGGATACACTCTGGATCTAAAATTCTTTGCTGAGGCAGGATGGGGAAGGAAAATAAAACCCTTCTGTAGGATGAAAAGTTCTTATCAATACTTTGACACATTTCCAAGTGCTGTCCAGTTTGACTAATCTTCTATAACATTAACCTTCATGTTAATAATTGGCCTCAGTGTTTAAGTTAGAAGTTGTTCCAAGTAGATGCCCCCTAAACCAATCATCTGGTCAGTCTTTCTTAGTTTTTGTTATAAAAAGGCTAGAGTCCTAGTTCCTAGAGAACCCTAGTAGTCTGCTGCAAACGTCAGTTCTTCATTGACCATTGAAAGTCTGAAAGCAGCAGCTCTCTCGCCAGGGAGGCAGGGTTAGTGTAAATGATGGGCTTCACCTGAACTGTGAAGCTGGTGAAAGAGTGGTTTTCAAACTGGTCGGCTGGCACACCCTTGGTGGAAGCGGGTCTGTGCTGTTGCCGTACCGTTATCTCTGCGGGCAGCCTGGGTTGGTGTCGCAGCCCTCAGCCAGAGCAGGAGCAGTGCTGACCATGGCGTTCTTTCTCTGGCGATTTGCAGAGGATGGCTGGGATTGGTTTGCTGAAGAGTCTTCCAGCCAAGAGGGAACGTAGCTTTTCCCACGGAACTGATGAAGCCCAACTAATATTTGGCAGTAAAAGGTTCTGATACTTGTTCTACATTGCTCCTTGTGTACTATTACTATTAAAAATTTGTAGAGGTGATGAATCTAGGCTTATTCTAGCAATAAAACGAAACGTGGCCTTTTTTTTGGGCTAGAGAGTTGCTTGGATTTATTGCCCTTTTTCAGCCTGAGCAGAAATTCTGTTGTCAGCCACCACTGCCAATGACTCAGTTATGACAAGTGAAAGTTTAATACAATTAAATGGAGAAAAGACCAAGGATGTAACCTGATAAACTAGGACTTTGTTATCTACTGTACTATTAGACCTGGCGAATTTTAAACAGGATGTTTACCATTCTTCACTGTTTACCTTTTGCTCAGTGTTTGTGAGACTGTCTATTCCTAGAACAGGAAACTCCACCAGTGCTGTGGCGGATTGTTATCGCAGGTGGAAATATTTTTATAATAGTCCTTGATGGATTTTTTTTTTTTATTTTCAAAGTAGGATGAGAATAATGAGGCAACCAGTCTTTTTTTGTATGCTTAGCAGGACAAAGGTTCTAATTCTGCTAGCGTTAATTGTTTTTGCTGAGTTTGTAACAGAGTGGTCTCATTCCCACTGCTGGTATTACTTGCTCTGAAGTCTGATAGCTCCGTCGTGATGTGTACCGTGAGACTAATGTGTGCGTTCAAGTATTGAAGAAAATGGGCTTAGGTTTCTGTGTCCTTTCTAGTGTGTTAGTGTTGAGTGTGTTAGTAAATTCCAGCACTTGAATTATCCAGTCTTTGTCCGTGTTCTTCTGTGGACAAGGCCCTGGGCTTGGACTAGATGTGAACTCCAGAACTTGCTTTTTAGTTAATGTTACTAGAAAGAGGGGGCTTTTAGATCTGTTTCTATAATTACAGTTTAACTACATTAGAAATAACCATTCATCCTCCTCCCTGCTACTGCTGAGGACATATTGGTTATACTCTACAGCAGGCTAAAAAGGGGCTGTTAGCTTTGCCGTGCCTCCAGAAGCCAAGGTTAAGCTCCTGAACTGCTAGGTGAGATGGCAGGCTGTTGGTTTTCATTCACTTTTCTTGGGAGTACTTAACTTCCCTGGGGATAAAAACAGTGTCATTGTCTCCAGAGGAATAGGATTAAATACTGCCACTTTTTTTATTTTATTTTAGTTTTTCAGCACTCCTCAACTGTAAGTAGAATGTGTTAATTCTAGTGGAGTAACTTTAAATGTCCAGCGGTGTTTCTGTCATTTAACATGACCAGTGATTCTGTCTTGGAGGCTGTGTCCATTGTAAGCCTCAGCACATCTGCAGCTTGGCTGGCTGTGTCAGAGCGAGCCTTTAGCTAGCCAGCAGAGGCACTGTGTGGAGTAGAATTGTAGCAGCACAGTTGGACAGCAGGTATGAAGTCACCTGAGCATTCTCCCTGCTCTTGGGTGTGTTTTCTCCACCAAGATTTGCGTGTTTCACAGTTAGGCTGCTAGCTGGCTTCAGTGTGCTGGTACGTGGTGCAGCAGTACTTTCCCTGGGTACCGTAAGTACCGCTAATAATGAGAATATCTGACACACTGAGACACTGCTCAACTTCATTAAGTAGTTAGCACTTTGAGATAATACTAATTGAAAAAAGCAAAGCATACTGTTTATACTTGTTCCTTCCCCCCACAATTGGGAAGAAAATAATAATGGTCTGATGGGGATGTTTTTCTCTTTGCAGGAGGTGGAACCAATAGACCTACTGGCATTCAACTCTGCTGCTGAAATGGAGGCCCTGGGTTTAGACAAGCTGAAGATGGAATTGATGTCTTTAGGACTGAAATGTGGAGGCACTTTGAAGGAAAGAGCAGCAAGGCTTTTTGCAGTTAGAGGTCTGTCTAGAGACCAGATCGATCCTGCCTTATTTGCAAAGCCCTCTAAAGGGAAAAAAAAGTGATTAAAAGAACCAAACCTATTTTGTATCCATGTGCTTTTAAATTTTTCTTACCTGTTGTCATTCTGTACTGCCACATACAATTCTTTGGCATCCCTGGATAGTTTGTGTTTCTGTTCTTGATGAAGCTCGATTAACATAACACAGAGCAAGTTGCTAGATAGCGAGTTAGTCATGTGTTCGGTGTGTTTAATGGGGAGGGGAACTGCCATCTTTTGATAAGCTTTACAAATGGCTGTAACAAGTCGTAATGCAACACGTAGAACAAACTGTCTGTATATGGAAAGAAATAACTCGAATGTTTTCTGGAAAGTGGTTGTGTGATGCTGTTGTCACCTGTTTTCAGAAAAATGGCAATCCTTCCTTAGCGTTATATTGAATCTCCTTTAATGTGTGTATTTCCAATTAGCACGGTTACAACTGTCAAATGAGAAACATTGCACTTACGATCCAGGCTTAAAAGCTGAAGTTTCTTTAAATAAAAAGAACAATTTTGTGTGGATGAGGTCAGTATAAATAAATATGCCGTTCTGTGAGTTTCTGTGGGATGTCAGGTGTCAGGATGCTATAAATTATTAATGTGTGTAAGTGTGTTAGAAGTTAAACAAGGGTATTTTCTTACTTTGCTCTGAAGAAGTATCAGAGAGGGGAAAGAGAGAATCACATCCTTAAGAAATGAAAAAGAATGAAGTAAGCTTGCTGGCTGCTGAAGGGTATTAAGATACAGAGTGATCTGAAGCCGAAAGGGAAATTCAGGAAGTGTTGTTAGTTCTTTTCCTATGGTAAACACAATGGAAGTGTCTCACAAGGACCCCAAGCACCACCACTGCAGACGTTTATCCTAGGGCAGCATCTGCAGTCTCGGCGCTGGAGTTACCCTGTGAGGCAGTAAGGGCCCCTTGCCGGAAGGGCAGCGTGCTTGCCTGACTGCGGGTGCAGCTGCCACTTCTCTGGTTTGCGAGGCTAGTTCAGAGCCTCAGATTTCAGACTTTACCACCGTATGCCGGAGAATATTATGTTTATGATCTGCTTATCAGATTTTCTTGTAGAGATTCTTGAAAAATTAAAAATGATCACTCCTGTTCTGACACCATACCATCTGTTTATCTGGTTTAAAGTTTGGATCATAAAGTTTTGAAGTGCAGTGCTGGTAGGAAACAGGCTTCAAAAGCTAGGAAATCAGTTCACTATGTGGTATTTAGTGTTTCTGACATGAGCAGTTTGTGTCTGGTATTTCAGTTAGTTTTGCAAACTTACGACCTCTCTCCTCAGAAGCTATTTTGTTTCTGCTGGGAAGTTTTGGATTGAGAGAGGGTGTTAAAGCTCAAGGATTTATCCTTGACAAACTCTACAGACAAGCTGTTATATCAGCCGTGTTGGAGCAGCTGCTCCAAAGTGCTGGTGAACCCGGCTGTTCATCCTTCCGTCACCGGCGTGACCTTCCCAGGCATGCTTCAGTGTAAAATGATGGCGGAAGGCTCGCAGCCCCCGTGGGTGGGTGGGTGTCTGTCGGCCCCCTCCCCAGTGTGGATGGGGAGTCCCGGGTCAGCAGGGGTCGCTGCGGGCCGGGGCTGGGTTTCCTTGGCCCCCCCCCCGCCCCTGGCCACCAACCCCAGCAGCTGGCCAGGAGACAGCTCTATTCTGCACAGATCCTGGTTGGTAGGGGAGGAGGCTTGGCCCTACCCCTGCTGAGGATGGCGTGGAATTGGGAAACACAGGATTTATTTCTGATGCAGCAGCTGATGTCTAGGGAAGTCAAAACCACTGTGCCTACTGTAGGTTTTCTACCCGCAAGATGGATTTGAGACTATTTACCTCTCTGCAAGCATATTTGATGTTGAATAAAAGTCCTTGGTATCCTTTCAACTGAGTTATCCCTAACTTCTGAATTGACATCCGCAAGATAAACTTTATTAGCATCCTGAGGAGTTATGAAAAGGATGGGCAGGTATTAGCAGTGGTGGTAATTAGTCACACACATACCCAGCGCTTGTGAATCTCTGGCGCTGTTCAGAAAACATAAATTGTGGCATTTGAGGGCTGAATTGTTAAAGTGCGTTTAAACTCTTCTGCTTACCTGCATATGTGATCCAAAGGAATTGCACTTGGCATTTTGCAGCTTATCGTTAGTAAAATCTAGTTCATGTGATAGGAGTGACTTAAATGCAGCAAGTGATACAGAAGGTATGAAGTTGTTTGGTGGCAGTAAAGCTGCTGACATGTCTGATGTTTTAATCTATAAGGGAGTCTTGGAAAATTTGAAGAAAAAAAAAAAAGGGGGAGGGGGAGCAGAGGAGCAAGAGATTGAGGTTCTGTAAATCACAACTTGTGGGGGCTGTGATAAGCGGACCCTGGGTAGAAAGGAAGCTGTTTTGTTGACTGGATATGTTTCATTAGGACACGGGAATGGAGGGTACCTGGGAAGTTTTGCTGGTGTAAATGTGCTGGCTGGGACTGCTACATGCCAGCAGCAGTCCCAGGTGGGTGGCAGGCCTGGGGTGTGCTTACAGCCACCTGAGAAACACATGAACATTGTTTGGGTCAGGAGAGCCTCCTGAGCTCCTCTGTAGTATGGCAAAGATAGCGTGGGCCAGAAGTGAATGGGTCAATTTAATGACGTGTTTTGGACTCTTTCCTAAGTTATTTCCCCTCATCGCAGTTGCGCCCTTGCTTCAGTTGCACAGGCACAGCCATTTCCAAGTCTACCCTGTGCGTCACCTATTTGCTTCTTTTGTTGTTGTGCGTTCTTCATTAAACCAGATCAGTTCCCCCATGGGGCGTATGATGTGGCTCTAACAAATTCATGCCAGCACAACTGAAGAAGCATTACACAGGGTACAGAATAAACACTGGTTGGTGAAGGGGAACTGGAGTATTTTAAACCAGCAGCGGTGCCAAACACTTTATTGATCAACTGTATCTTCAGTAGCACCAGAATTAAAAGAAATACCCTACATCTGTGTTAGAGGGCAACAGCTTATGCGTACCTTGAACCAGCACCACACTTTGGCACATTTATTTGGGAATTGTTTAGCTCCTGCTGAGCTAAACGGGAACAAGTGCTTGCTCTGGGATATGCCCACATAAAGGGTTAGCCTAGAGCAAAAGTGTGTCTGGAGAGCCATACGGGCACTCCCTGGCGAGGTTAGAGTTGGGCGTTCTTTAGAGAACAGCTGGAAAACAAACAGGACTCAGGCTGATCCTTCAACAGAACAGAAACAAGCAGGTGAAGTGCTTGAAGCTTTCAAGAATTTGTGCAAGAAAAGTCAACAAATACCAGTAAAAAAAAAAAAAGAATATAAACTGAAACCATCCCAATGTAGTGTGGGCCATTTCCATAGGAGAGAATGGCTGAAGAACTGAGGTGATCTTTCCGGTCCAGGGACAGAGGATAACACAGAGTTTGCAGCATCCCTGCCTGTATCTTTCTTTTTCCAAGAATTAATGCAGCTTTGGATTTCAAAAGTGTTTGTGGTTGTAAATACACCAAAACTGTGAACATCTTTCCAGAGAAAAGCTTCATGCTCCCACGCAAGCACTTCCCCAACAAGCAAGTGGTGTGACTTCCAGAATTCATCTGAAGTGTCATTTTAAATGCATTTATTTCAAACATCTAGATGATCTAGAGCACTGCCTCGTGTTTCTCTTGAATTTCAGAGTTACCGACTGAAAAAAATTGGTGAAAACACTGTCACGAACCTGAGGGAGGGCTTTTCCTCACCTCATACAGATCTGCCCATACCATGGAAAGAAACATAAGTGCATATAATACACAAAAAATAGCAGGGAACAGGGCAGGTCACAGAGGGAAATAACTTGTGGAAGTTTAGAAAGATCATTGCCAGCGGACACAGCAACAGCTGCCAGCCTTCAACCAAAAGGCTCCTTTCCCATTTTCCTCGCCTACACAGTTCTCTGCAACATGGACAGATAAACGAGTTACTAAAAAGGCACTTCAGTGTTTTGACCTAAACACTGCTTTGCTTGAGGGTGCAGGAATTTCTTCCTTTGGTTTTCCAAGTCTGAGAGCTTCTGCACTTGTTACTGTAGGTGGCACTGAACTAACGACGGAGGATGTGTCCAGTTTCAGCAGCGCCGATGAAACCCTCGGCCCTTTGAACAAACTACCTGACCGGAGCCCCTGGCCCTGTCCCGTGGTGCACAGGCACACGGTGCTGTGGCAGGGCAGGGATATTAGGTCACGTTTATGTCATTCTGCTGATCCCAGAAACAGCCAAAATCAATCATTTTGATCCACCTGAAATTCATTCTTATCTGAGGTTTCGTTCCCTGGAGAATGTTGGCATTTTAAAGGTTGGTTTGTAGCAATGCCTATTCTCAGGAAGGTGCTATTTTTAAATCTTAAAGGTTCCTCCAAAACATTTAACTGGAGATGTTAAAAGACTGTACCCTAGTTCGTTAGCACAGCCACCTCACAGCCGGCTTTCCTTTCAGTTACAGCGGAGCAATTAGGGTGGCTTTGCAGATTACCATGCCTAATGGCACCTGAAGGTGGGAAGGTGACAACTCTGACCTCCTCCGGCTGCTGAGGAGGGGCTGGGCAGGTACTGCTGCCTCCCAGCGCTGGTGGAGGCTGGGCAGGAGCTCATGCCGCCCAGGGTGGTTAGTCTTGGCTTAGACCCAGCAGCTATGCCTGCTTGGGAAGGGTCCCGGTGGCCTGAAGGCATGTGCTGCGTGTGCTGCTTCTCCCTGCTGTGTTTGCCATCTGCCTCTAAGCAGGCACAAGGAATTGAGAACTGTGTAAAACTTGGAGTGCAAAGGGGAACAAGAAGCTCTTGAACAACCTGCCTGGGATGTATGGAAAGAAGAGCAGTGTTTGTAAGGAGCCAGCCGGCTTGGGAAGTAGCTGCTGGAAGTGTGACACTGCTTAATAAAAGCATGCCTGGATGGCTGGTGGTTATAGATGGTACCTTATGGACTGCATGAGAGGAAATCGTCTCAAGTTCCACCAGGGGAGGTTTAGATTGGACATTAGAAAAAATTTCTTTACCGAAAGAGTAGTCAAACATTGGAACAGGCTGCCCAGGGAAGTGATGGAGTCACCGTCCCTGGAGGTGTTCAAAAACTGTGCTGATGTGACACTTTGGGACATGGTTTAGTGGACATGGTGGTGTTGGGTCAACGGTTGGACTTGATGATCTTAGAGGTCTCTTCCAACCTAATGATTCTGTGATTCTATACATGTAAGGTAAGTAGCCGAGACCTTATAAGGGTGATGGTCATCGACCACTGGCCCTGAAGCTTGCGGTCACCTTAGAACAGTTGCAACCTGATTGCGTTCATTTTCAGCAAACAGAAAACACACTTTTCAAGTGAATACAGCTATTTGGACTTTCCAAGTGGAACATTTATAACCACGGAGAAAGTCAGGAGGAGGAAAAATGCAAA